ACAAGCTATGTGCCCTAGAATGGACGTTTTCGGACACGTCCATGACCTCAAGTGATCCGTACATGTTAAATAATTTAATTCTATCATCTGACCCTTTTGGGGCTCTGGCTTCGGTTTGGTTGTTTGGTTTTGCTCTTAACGTTTGTGTTAGATGCAGACTTTTGAGTTGACTGGGAAAATGTGTCACGATCGTGAGATGGTTCTGCTTGGGTTTTGGTCGTGACAGGAAGTGGTTCTGCAGTTTGTGTAGACATAGCAGGTGACAAAATCTTTGGAGAATCGGTTTTGAACCAAGTTAAATTCGTCTGACAGCTTACAGATGATTTTGCTATTGGAGGAGTTGAATCAGACGATGTTTTGGCTATGGATGCATAGGTTTCCTTAATTTCAGATCTTAAGACAAGCTCTTGGCATCAGGCAAACTCATGTTTAGAGTGAACTTCATCTTATTGAATCTATCTGCTGTTTCCTGATCGGACAATCTTTGGAGAATGATGAGTGATTGCCTGCACAGTTGGTACATTTCTTAAAGTCACTGTCACAGTCATCTGTAGTATGTGTCTTCTCACCACACAACACACAACGTGCAAGTATTAACACCATGACGAAACGTCTGGCATTTAAAACACCTGAAAGGATTTGGTATGTACGTGTCAACATTAATGTGACAATATCCCGCCTGATCTGGAAGCATTTGGAGAGGAAAACGAAAACAGGTACCTGTTAGTCTGAATGGTTTCCTGGTTTTTACGTGTTGTAAAACATTTAATGTATGTGACCCCTTAGATCTTTCATTTCTAAAGACAATGTCAAGTTCAGACATGTCAGCGAACAAGCGATCTCTATCTCTGATGTTTCCTTTGCTGGTGTTAAGAGTTCTATGAGGTGATACTGATACTGGAATGCCGACGAATGTTTCAGTAGTCATCAGGTTAGTTGCCTGTTGTCTTTTGCTGCACTCAACGAGCAATGCACCTGAACGGAAACGTTTGATATTTTTAACGTCACCGGCAATGCTTTCTATGCATTTCTGTATTGCAAAAGGGTTCAACTTTAATCTTGTGCGATCTTGAGTCTCAATCACGAGAAAACGTGGCCAGTTATCAATGGATGTGGACAGTCGTTGGTCGTTACCATATGGATCAGTGTCAAGTAAACGTGTTTTTTAAGGGGGGTTTCGTATGCCATGGTTACTTTTTAATGGTTCACCATCCGAGCTCCCCACCCACCACGGAGTATTACAAGGACAATGTTAAAAAAAGCGGGTCTCCGACTTGCAGCACCAAGGATACCCGGATGATATACTCTAGCAGAAAAATTAAAAGGTTAATTATTCCACCAGATTGGCCCATGAGCCACTGCCATCTGGGCATACGACTCTAGGCAAAAACATGAAAGTGTGTATTTGAAATTCTGAAGTTCGAAAAATTCGCCAAGACTTAAAAATAGCATGTTACAATTCTCAAAGTTTTGTGCAACATTACTTAATGTAACGCTCAGGGCTTGGCGTGACCAGCCGATTTGTGAAGTTAGGGCCGAAGTTGTGTGTTGGGCAATAAGAACACTGTTCCTGGTTCCAATGCCCTCAACCACCAGAATCCCTTCCTCCACCGACACAGGGTCGCAACCCACAGCAAACAGGTTGGTGGACAAAACATATCCCCGGGTCCACACGGGGGATTGAAGAGCTCGTAGCGTTACCCAGCACCCACCACGAGGAGGTGGCTCTTCACGGGTGCCTGTCGCTGTATGTATAGTTCGGCTGGTTTCCTCATCACAGTGCAGAAAAGTAGATGTTATTGTCTGTCGTTTATGGTTTCCTTGTGGATGAACAAGTCAGTATTGGTCAGAATGTGTATTTCGTACAGCTCCGAGCGCTACAACTCAAGGGAGATTACTTCCGCATTGGTATTTACCAACAGTATTATTATATGACAGGCTCACGGAATTGAGGCGAACAAACGTTGATCACTACACTATCGAGGCCACAATTTTTCGTATTGCCAGATCCCCAGGAAACCTCTCCCTCAGAGACGCAACATGTCCATATTTTTAGGAAGATCGTCTATTCTGTTGACGGTGTCAGATACGCAGCTACCAGTAGCACGAGTGTCGGGAACTGGCTTTGCATTTGTCGTAGCACGTCTGTCTGTATGTCGCCACATGCACATGAATGTGTCATGCCATGTTTATTGTGTGTTTAAATGACCCTAAACTCAAGGGGAGTTCAGAGTTTTCAAACTGTTGCCGTGAAACTGTTTGTAAACATATGTTGAATCCTATACTACATGACAAATAGAGGAACAAAGCATTAGGTGAAGACACATTTTTAACATGACATATAACTGCACGTTGTCTGAAGGAGCGACGAGGAAAAGGTTAAGTCAGAGCTTTTCAGACCCCAAAAGATAGGACCTGAATGTAAGGTGCTCGAAGAGGCAGTTCAAAGCTCTTCTTGGCGACATACTACTTAAATGCAAATTAACAGAAGAGAAACGGCAGAATTTGGAACTGATCAATATGATGCACATTGTCTCTGCACGTCGCTCCACAAGCGATGTCACTCAGCACTTATAGCATAATACAAACATTTTTAATCATTTATATCCCTCACTACACAGAAGCGTCATACCATGTGCAAAAAGCAGTACATGAAAGTTCTCACAGTTTCAACAAAAATATCTCTTCAGGACAAAATTCCAATACACTAGACTTAAGTTGTTCAGAAGAAACAGTGTTTAACGTTTAAGTTTCTTTCTGGACTCAAGATTTTTTCACGATGTCATTATATCTCAAAATCTCAGTTGTGACATGTCACCTTTTCCTTTTCTGTGGTGAGACTGTCTGTGGGGCTTATTGTACTCCTGGCAGATGGAGGATTATCTACAGGCCGTCGATATATAGTTGGAATATTGCTGAGCGCACAATTAAACAACACACAAACAGATGAATGAAGGATAGGTAGTACACCAGTTTAATACGTTTAATATGTCTGTGTGATAACAGCGCTCTCGTCAATGGAAAACTAATTTAACACATGTAAATGAACCTTTTTTCTTCATTTTCACATCGTGCTACAGAACCGCATTCTGCATACAACATTCGACAACAGTTGTTTGTTTGGTGCGTTGTTAATCAGATTCATGTTTCACTACGGACTGTCATATATATCTTGTTAATTCAAAGGGATTCATAGTATCCCGTTTTAAATACTTTAAAATCAATATCAATGCCTTTTGTGTCCATGTGAAATGACAAATATTGGATTGTGCAGATTTTATGAAACTGCAGCATATGTTCTCCAGTAATTAAAACGAGGGATTGCACAAAACGTACAATAGTTCGAACGACACTACATGGAGAGAGCAATGATGTACTTGTTCCATTCTTCACATTGGTATATTGTATTGAGAAGAACCATAACGAAACGTAATATACACAAGGACACCACCCACCCCACCCACCCCCACCCCCGTAATTTTGCAATGATGGGTTTTCAACACGTACATAAGACCTTTCGTGGTGACCAAGAGGAAAACATATGATATTTTGTTACCCGTATGACCCTTTGACTCATAAAAAATGATTGGACATTTTTGACAGTTTGAATTTAAGATGATAATTGCTCATTTTATGAAAACGCTGATTTTAATACAAAGCCATGTCCGTACAAGTATGGCCATGGAATGTTTAATGTTGAATTTATTCGTGAATGTGAAAATTCAAAATGTCATTTTGCGTGTCTTACACGATTCAAGGTCAATACCGATAACCTCCATGTGACTGTATGAGAGCCAGCCCTCCCCTCCTCATACCCCAGTCAGCCTCCTGATCCTCTGAAGGGGCAGTCTACGCCATTACTCGTGTAAGGCAGCTTCCAATTGGGCCAGGGTCTGTACAGGAGGATCCCTTTGTTGCACACAACGACCAATCATGACTTAGATATGCTCCAAAGGGTTAAGATCAGGGCTCATTCAACTGTGAGATATGGCAGGGGGTGCATAACGAAGTTCTTTGTGTATTGTCTGTAACGTGGTTAGGAATGATGTAAGACCTGAGCGTTTAGAAAAGCGAAGACATTTATGATTCTCAGTCTCGAGTCTTCTTTCAACTATTCAACCGAAAATTTGAATTTCATAGTAACCAGTGAGTGTGGTTTCACGCGGCTTTTGCTGTTTTAAATAGGCTTATTTCCTATTTGATAATACCAATTCAATTACATAGGAACAACAGTGAGTGAGTATGGTTTTACGACGCTGAACAGCAGAAAGCGGATGCTTGAATATAAACAGGCTCGTTTAATTACACCACTTCCAATCTATTTAGGTTATTTTCAGTTCATATCATATGCGTTATTCTGAGTTGTAGTTATTAGATGCTTTCTTTTAAGTAGTCTTAATTTGCAACCAATTAAATGGTGTATTTCCGTTGTACCAAACACGACCAACCAACATTGCTGTTAGACGCGTACATCTTTGAGTTTGTGAGGATAGACATATTTCAGGCATATCACGCTTAATGTGGGAGAAAAGAGAGGACACATCTGTGGGCGTATTTCTATCGATCCTACATACACTTTGGAACAAGTGGACACGTTTGTGAGAATCTAATGTAATACTTTTTTTCCAGTTTCAAATTTCAGTTTCCACGGTACATTACAAAGCTGAATAATAACATCTCGATCTAACATCTGCTCATTAAACCAAAGCACAAAAGAGCAGGGATAAATACAACATTAAAGATTAGAGCTGATATGTCTAAATGGTAAATTCTGCTTTGATGTAAGGACAATATTCCTATAGTACATGTTGACGTTCATAAAAAAGCCGATATCTATTTCATCAGCTTCCTATCAGTGTGTTTAGATCGGTTATTAAAACAAACATGGTGAATGCTTACACACGTTGAAACAGATGCCTGTTCAAATATCCTGCAGTTAAGGTTTCACAGGAACATATTTACTCATACGTGTACATATATAACAGTCCTGACGTGATTGTACCACGGCAGTTGTACTGTCAGGTCATGGCTGAACAACACCGAGTAGAGACAATCGCCCTTGTCAAACGAGAATGTCCTGAGGTGAGTTGGCTTCAAACATTACTTTCTATCATTGAATTACTACCCGGCTATCACACAGTCATTGTCTAGAATATCTGTCTTGATATCATTATTGATATCAAGTTACTGTCTTGCATACGTTTGTGACAAGTAATCACGTTTCTGGCTATCAGTGAGTTAAACACACTTCATACTAATTACTGACTGACTGACTGACTGAGTTTGGTTTTACGCCGCTTTTAGCAATATTCCAGCAATATCACGGCGGGGGACACCAGAAATGGGCTTCACTCATTGTACCCATGTGGGGATTCGAACCCGTGTCTTCGGCGTGACGAGCCAACGCTTTAACCGCTAGACTACCCCACCGCCCCTCATACTAATTAAGTAAAGGTTATGATGATATTGGTCGTAGTAGTGATAGTGGGTACGTTTCTGTTGTTTTTATGCCGCTGCTGCTGCTAATGAACACTTAAGTTTCAGAAGGAACTGTTTCCAGAGAGAACGTGCCCCAAAGCAGAACATGAATATAACAAAGAAGATGTAGATTTGTTCATATCCAACACACCTGATGAAGGATTTGATTATAGAGAGCATTATCTACAATGTGGAGCGGCGTTTGGATGGGCAAGAGCGTCGCTTTGCAAGACGATAATTCGCAACAAGAGCATGCTTGTGGCTATATGCTCACTGATCGCATTGACTGCCTACGCTGTGTATGTCGGCTTCAGCATCAGATTTTCCTTTGGGGATGAAGGTTCTTTGAGACTGCTACTTGGGACCGGTTTTGTCGCCCTGATTTATGCCAAGGTCAAGTTGACAACCCGCGTTCATGAACTTTTATCTCCATGGTCCAACAAGATATCGAATTCCCCTTCGATAACGAGAACAATAAGATGGTGAGGATTCTAGAAAAAATGCTGTATAAATGAATATTTACACTACCTAAAGATTTTATTAGACGTATTGTCATTGCTGATGGTGGCGTTAAACAACAAACAAACAAATAAAGTCAAATTCGAGAATATGTTCTATATCTGATGCCAGTATTGCAGCTTTCATGGGATTCCGATGGAGGTTGTTCTGGGTGGGTTGTTTGCATGGTATATTCCAAGTCAGGGATCTATCAGGGAAACCTTACAACGGCCTGCAGCTATGTGAGGCGACAAATCAGAATATAAACAGTTAATAGGGTACAGCTAAGATTCGGGTAACACAGTCAAGTCTGTACTAGACAAACAGGTAAATGATATTGCTATCAGCGATCCACGCCATGGCTGATACCACATCCAAACATGTCGCCTTTACAAGCATACGCTTTGGTTTCAGGGAACCTATTAGAACCGAGTTCCCGGCAGTCATTTCCGAAGTGATGGAGTTTGACATTATCAACATCTATTGTGACTTCTGGCTTAGTAAAGGATTGTGGTATGCATCCTCGATATTACCCTTAAATCTGAATCTATATATTTTCTCACATTCATCTCCTGCTGCCACCTTGTGTTGGCAGGTTGCTGTACATAGGTATGGTCCTCTTCATGGCGATCTACTTGGGACTGAATGTGACCAAAGCGGAGAACTTTCTCTCTCTCGCTGGACTGACCTTCTTCATTCTTCTAGGATTCCTGATATCCGAACATCCAGAAAGGGTAAGCGGTTGAAACAGGATAATGACAAACCCACATTAGACAATCATCATCTTCCTTAGATTTTGATAAAAAATATGTTTTATTATGGCGGAGAACTTTGACTTTCTGGCTGGGCTGGCCCCGTTGGTTCTCCCGGATTTTTCGGTTCTGCTTGTTCACGATCTGAGTCAGGCAATCGGTTTCATTGAAGGTTTATGCTCTTCTTGGCTTCTCCACCACGGTTGTCACCGTGCATGTAAGTTTCCAAGATAAATACTGTTAGAGCATGTTGTCTAAACAGTGAGGATAAATCATCTTGAAAACCAGTTGTCTTCAACCTATTCCTCTTCGATGGCGGGTTCGAAACAGACATATTATCATGACAAATCTTGAATCAGCTTGACATCGCAGAGAGATGAATTCAAAAGATTGATAGTCCTCCTGTGTTCCGTCTATTTCTACATTTAGAGAAGCGCGATACACAGCAGCCACGCCCACGCCTTGCCCATCAGACCTAGGAACCTGTATCCATCTGGCGTCAGTTCCTAGCTTTGGCTTCATCACCATAACGTCTTAGTCAAGACTCATTACCGAAGAGTATATCCAAAGCTTTGCCAAGTATTACATCATACATTATCAAGGTTTTATTCTATGTATTCCACACACACACTTTCAATCCATGAATGGTTGGCCTAGGAAATACTTGAATGAAGTTATGTGGTTGACACCTCCACTTTGACATATTTGTTCATGTTTCTCAGCTGTGTGGTTTATTCTCTATTCCTTCTTCGTTTCCTTTTCCCACCCATTGAACGTCTCCTTGTCTCAGTAACTGGTATTTTAAGTTCTATTAGAAGATGAAACACATTTGATGGAAGACACAATTGGCTATCAACATCCGATATTGTTGGGTGAGAGTGTAATATAGTCCGGCCGAATCACTGGCCTATAGACAGCAGCTTGTCCCGGCTATAGACAATAAAGTCATAAGCTCTGCCTAATGTTCTCTACTGACTCATTGTCAAGAATTAGCCAACGTCAGCTTGAAGGGGTCTTGAGTACACTGTGGTTGGAAGATAGTAATAATTCCCAGGAGTTTGTGCAGAAAACAATGCCAATAACATCTACATCACAGCATATTTTGATACAGAAACACATTTAGATCAACTCCATAATGTAATTTGCTGAATAATAACACGAAAAATCAGAGAAAGGCTATCTTGATATCACACTATCAATTTTTTATGAACGTATACAGGACATACTGAAAACACCGACGCAATTCGAACAAACCTAACACATATAGGACATGTCACTATTCTGTTCTTAATATCCAGTAGGATTCAAGCATTGTGCGCAGCACGTTTCGTCTCAACGAGTAGTGGTGAAGCTATGTGTAGTTTACAATTTCAGGTGAACTGGCACGCGGTATTTTGGGGGATCGGGACCCAGTTCCTGTTTGCGCTGATGATACTCAGAACCAGTTTCGGGTTTCGCTGTTTCCGATGGCTTGGAGAAAGACTAGACGAGTTCTTGGAACACACTAACAAAGGATCTGAATTTGTATTCGGAAAAACATATCAAGATCACGCGTTTGCATTTCAGGTAAGTGTGTAACACACATCGTTTGGTCCCATGACAGAAAAGGTCCCAATTATCTATAAAGATGGACAGGCTTCAGTAGAGTGCACATGGTTAGCTCTTTGACTCTGCGTAACATGACGACCAAGATTTGTTCTTTGTTTAATGCCCCTCAATGGTTTGTCTGACCGTGGTCACAAGTACCTTACTTCTCAAAACTTGTCATCATTTGCTCGACATAACGTATTACAAATGAACATCGTATTCATCAAATTCAATATCTTGTGAAGATCTTGGTTTAGAACCGATGCATTTTGCAAGGGGGTTTGGGACTCAAGCACGCTGAGTTGATGGATGTTCGTCATCACACCCAATTGCGTAGACTGGCGCGTTCAAAGTGTGGCGTTACATATTAAACAACCCGACACATCGGACATGAATAGATTTCTGATAATTATGTCAGCATGAATGTTCAGAACGGGACCTGACAGACCTACAAAGATGAGAACTCATCTAATTCAGGAAGAGTGTGTGAGTTATATTTCAGCAATATCGTGACTACAACTGGTTCTAAATTCATACAAAACTACATTTAATGTATAAAAACCTGTCAACGAAGGACAGTGATATTCTTGTGTTTTATGTTTTCAGGTGATGCCATTTATTCTGATGTGCTCTTCGACTATCAACGTCTTGTATTACTACGGGATTCTCCAGGGATTCGTGGCCAATTTTGGATGGTTGCTGTCTGTCTGTCTGGGTACCAGCCCCGTGGAGTCCGTTAACACAGCAATCAACGTTGTGTTTGGACCAGTACGGTGAAATTGTGTACACCTATTCTATGAACGATAGAACATCAGTGATACTGTTAACTCCATAATGTCAATGTCTAATGACCATTTCGTATTAATGTCAATGTTAACAAACATCAAATACGGACGTACACTTTCTTTTGCCCGACAGTGTAGCTGATAGCAGCCGGAGTTGATGCAACTGTTATCTTCTTCACTAGGGGACACCTTGCTTGTGGTATTATTGCTGATTTTATTTTAATGGTCATAACACAACTATTGTAATTTTCCCATCTACATATGACTGGTAGTGTCATTGATGTTTGCATCAAGAAAGATATTTACAAATAAAACGTGTTGTTTCGACGGACGGTAGTTACATGCAAGTGTCATTACCAGGCAGAATCACCTCTCGCCATCAAGCCCTTCCTTCCTCATCTCACGCCGTCCGAGTTACATGCTGTCATGGCCGCCGGATTTGCCAGCATTGCAGGGACGGTATTCGGGATGTTGACATCGTTTGGGGTAGGTAGTACTAGGTACTGGGGGATATAAGATATCATACACATTTGTCCAGTGACTTATTATTATCATTATTGACGTTTTCGTTTTCGAGAGATTCGGACGTAATCAAACAACCTATCCTAATTGCCACATAAATATAAATAGTACACATGTTTATCATTTACTAATACCCAACAGCTTTCTTATATTTGAAAATTTTCCGGACTCCACCAAAAAAGTTCTTTAAGAAACCATCATTAAAATTTGACACAGTTCACTATTTGTTACGAGGGAGGAGTGCAGAGAAAGGAAGAGCCAGGTGTTAGAGAAGCACGTGCACAAGTGCCCACCAAGTTATTGATTCATTAGCCTGTGCTGTGCCGTCTCCATCCTTTCTCGCACACCTGGCTGTCCCTGTCTCTGCACTCCTCCCTCGTAACAAATAGTGAACTGTGTCAAAATTTTAATGATAGTTTCTTAAAGAACTTTTTGGGTGGAGTCCGGAAAATTTTCAAATACAAGAAAGCTGTTGGGTATTAGTAAATGATAAACATGTGTACTATTTATATTTATGTGGCAATTTTGTACAATGATAAAATTTGCAATTCATCGGTCCGTTTCTGACTCAAACGGACTGTAGTTTTACCTTATCATTATCCTTCATACCATTACAGATTGAATAGTAGAGTTTCTGGGATCATAATATTTCATGGGTCAATCACAACAAAACATCGTATAGAAGAAAATTGTCGTTTTAATAAAATTGATATGATCGATAACAACAAGAGCTTATATATTCATTTTCTAAGTAGTACGGTGTTTAAACATTTTCCTTTGTTAATACCTCAAGTTGCGTTTAACATGGTCCACTTGTTGTCAAAAGTTCATTCACGGATCCCACAAGAGTTACACACGAGTGACCAACTAGATGTATCACGCTCGTCTCATCTTGTAATGGGTATGGTCTTTTGGGCAGTAGTGTTATTAGTTGTACCTTATAATTATCCTTCACTGCATTACAGTAAATGTGTTGATGTTATTATTACTAGGCACCAGCCAACCATCTGCTAGCAGCCAGCGTCATGTCCGCCCCTGCAGCTCTAGCCATGTCCAAGCTAATAGCGCCAGAAACACAGCCGACCAGGATCCAGGCACATGACGCCTACAACATCCCTGTCCCGTCAGTCACAAACACCTTCCTTCATATATGTATAAATACATCTGATATTCATTGACAATGGTGATGGTAATAAGGGATGGTGCAATAAAGACGGACCCAGCTTACGACAAGATTGCATGCCAAGTTGCCGATTGTTCTCCGTGCTTTAGGTTTGGTACCACTCAGTCCCCAGATTGACGTACCCATTAACAGTCTTACATTATTGGTGATGCTATAGCCGCCGACATAGGAAAGTCTTAAACTTCTCACAAGGGTCTTTCGAAGGGTTCGACAATGTGGCTCATCATCATGAGCATCTGTAAACGTAGCCGCCATACGATGACATGTGTGCCTGACCACCCAAACATCCCTTTTAACAGGAATCAAACAGTAAAAGAACCAGATGTGGAACCAACAAATGACCAAGAAATGTGCCGTAATAAACCGTATTCTAAAATAAGTTAAAATGAGGATACAAATACATCACCTTGTCTAAAAGGTGTGAGGCAGTACACTATACGTGCAGTGAATATAGCTATAAAGATGGAGATGGGGATGGGGAGATTCACCTCTCATTAACAGTAATCCAACTAGACAGACGTGTGATCAGGTATTGCAGTATTCCGCCGTGATATTGCTGAAATATTGCTAAAAGCGGCGTAAAACTGAAATCACTCATTCAAACATGATATGTAATGTGAGATAAGAGACAATAGCTGGCTCCCCGTTTTAAGACCAACATATCTTGCTGGACATTCCCATATCATTCTACATTGTTTGGGTCGTCACAGGACATGCCTTTAAGTGGTCTAACACAAGTCTAACTACAGCACACCACTCCCCTCACTGCCTCTACAAGTACAATGTAACACAAGTCCAACTACAGCACACCACTCCCCTCACTGCCTCTACAAGTACAATGCAGCACAAGTCCAACTACAGCACACCACTCCCCTCACTGCCTCTACAGGTACAATGTAACACAAGTCCAACTGCAGCACACCACTCCCCTCACTGCCTCTACAGGTACAATGTAACACAAGTCCAACTACAGCATACCACTCCCCTCACTGCCTCTACATGTACAATGTAACACAAGTCCAACTACAGCACACCACTCCCCTCACTGCCTCTACAAGTACAATGCAGCACAAGTCCAACTACAGCACACCACTCCCCTCACTGCATCTACATGTACAATGTAACACAAGTCCAACTACAGCACACCACTCCCCTCACTGCCTCTACAGGTACAATGTAACACAAGTCCAACTACAGCATACCACTCCCCTCACTGCCTCTACATGTACAATGTAACACAAGTCCAACTACAGCACACCACTCCCCTCACTGCCTCTACAGGTACAACGTAACACAAGTCCAAATACAGCATACCACTCCCCTCACTGCCTCTACAGGTACAATGTAACACAAGTCCAACTACAGCACACCACACCCCTCACTGCCTCTACATGTACAATGTAACACAAGTCCAACTACAGCACACCACTCCCCTCACTGCCTCTACAAGTACAATGTAACACAAGTCCAACTACAGCACACCACTCCCCTCACCGCCTCTACAGGTACAATGTAACACAAGTCCAACTACAGCACACCACTCCCCTCACTGCCTCTACAGGTACAATGTAACACAAGTCCAACTACAGCACACCAGTCCCCCCACTGCCTCTACAGGTACAATGTAACACAAGTCCAACTACAGCACACCACTCCCCTCACCGCCTCTACAGGTACAATGTAACACAAGTCCAACTACAGCACACCACTCCCCTCACTGCCTCTACAGGTACAATGTAACACAAGTCCAACTACAGCACACCAGTCCCCTCACTGCCTCTACAGGTACAATGTAACACAAGTCCAACTACAGCACACCAGTCCCCCCACTGCCTCTACAGGTACAATGTAACACAAGTCCAACTACAGCACACCAGTCCCCCCACTGCCTCTACAAGTACAATGTAACACAAGTCCAACTACAGCACACCACTCCCCTCACCGCCTCTACAGGTACAATGTAACACAAGTCCAACTACAGCACACCACTCCCCTCACTGCCTCTACAGGTACAATGTAACACAAGTCCAACTACAGCACACCAGTCCCCCCACTGCCTCTACAGGTACAATGTGTAGCAGGTGAAACATTGTTGTTCAACAAATAACACTGCCTCATAGCATTATACTACACAGGAAGTTCAACAACCTTCTGGAAGCCGTGTCAGAGGGTGCTAAAGACGCTATACCGATCGTCGCGAGTGTGGTTGTCAACCAGATCATATACATCGCCATCATCAACTTCGTTGACTCCACGTTACTTTGGTTCGGGGGCAGAGTGGGCGTGGCTGGATTGTCGTTTGAGGTAATTTGAATCAATATCCTTAAAGGTCAAATGCAACGTAAAACACAACTTTGCAGATTCTGATCCTTTTACGGTATGGACTTACCGAAACAAATCATCAAAAATGCAAATTCAGCTTATAAAGTTGAAAAATAACGCGATGAAATAAACCGCTCGAAATCGGAGTTCAAACGATTCACTAATTTCCCCCAGCGCTTGGGGGAAGAAGTGGTTTCAACAGCTGGGCTGCGCTCATAGCACATGCGCAGTGAAATAGGTTCGCGCAGCTTGGAAGCGGGTTGTCCAGTGAATACTCGGTGAAGGCTTTGGTGTGAAGTATTTTTCTAATGTTTTGTTGATATTTCACAGGCGCGAGCTTTTTATATGTTATGACAGTAGATTACCGATTTAACTGTTTATATTATTTCATTTGTCTATTTCACCACACGTTCTTCTTACCGAGTCACTTTCTCAGTTCGATACTTAAAAGCATTATTTAACGTTGACAGAATTTCTAACTGTGATATAGATATGTCGTTGTCACAGACAAAACTCAATGTCTGTTTTATTGACACCTATGTGTCTGTCTGCCTGTCTGCTAATGACAATATTCAATACACAACTTCGATCACTGACCACATGCAATTTGAACTTAACACCTATCAGGCTATACACCATAAACAAAACGCATTGATTTATGGTCCGAGTTCGGTCTCTGTCACATTATGTAATTACACAGACTGGCAGGTGTGATACTTGTACACATGACATGTTATGATGTCTGTTAAATGCAAAATGTTATACACAAAAAATGAGCATGTATTTACAAAACCCAACAGCTCTATATATACACACACAATGAGCCGTGAGGGCTTCTGCAAATGAACCAGCAGTTACACTTGAGTGCACACCCACCCGCTCTGACTGGGTTCGGCATCCCGGCTGCTTCGTTTCGAGGGAAGTAAACCCAAGTACAAAATATTGCACTTTTGATTTGTGATTGTACGCTTATAATTTTGTTTATATGTTTCTTCACAATCAGCAATGTATATTATATGTCATGAATAAGTGATAATTGTGTTTTAATTATGTTCGATTTTTTGGTTGCATGTGACCTTTAATATTGCCAGTTATTTTCAAGTTTTGTGAGTGAGGGAGTGAGTGAGCTTAGTTTTGCGCTGCTTTTAATAATATTCCAGCAATATCACATCGCTTATAGCAATATTTTGTGAATGGGTCATATATTTATAGAACGCGGGTTTCTTCATATATCAACCTATATAGCCTTGGCATATGAATTATGTTTATAGTATTACTTACATTTGACTCCTATCAGAGACACAGCGGAGCAGCAGCAACATGTACATCAGTGTGGATAAGCGAGAGAGTTTTGTTTTACGCCACTTTTAGCTATAGTACAGCAATATCACGGAATGGGTTTAACACAGTGTAAGGTCCATGTGGGGAATCGAACCCGGGTCTTCGGAATGACGAATGAACGCTGTAACCACTAGGCTACCCACCGCCCATCATTGTGGATGAGGTAAAACTGTCCTCAGTTCACCTAGGTCCAACATCACTGTCAAAATATAGAAAGGTTTTCTTGAAATGAATTTGTTTTGTGCGAGACAACACAGTCTGTCAGGCTCCATCGATAACGTGTCATCAAACACCGGTCGCGTTGAACGTTGCTCATCGTATCAACCACTGGATTGCTTGGTCTCGACTATTAAGAGACGGTATTATCAGCTTGGATGATCACAGGGGAATATGTAAACTTTGTATATGCATCGGTAGCCCTGATATTACCGACACGTGTTTAGAAGTAGCCATTTTGTTCTCTATAACGTGGTAGCAGAATGGCGCGGGTATTGTCATGTCTATGTGAAATGGCATTTTATTTTGTTTCAGTTCCTGTGCTCCTATGGTTTCTATCCCATCGTGTATGTCATGGGCTTTTCGAGCACGGATTTCTTGAAGATTGGCGAGTTGTTTGGCATTAAGACATTTGCAAACTCATTTTACGGTTATCAACTGTTTGGAAAGCTGATTAAAAATCGCCATGCTTTTGAACACTACGTTGCCTCTACTAACGGGACTTGGCACTGGGAGAACCGAGACATCGTTCTGGACCTCACCAACAGGACGCTTCCTGGAGGGATCCTGACGGTGTGTGAGCGAGTGCGTGCGTACGTGCGTGCTCAGACATTAAGATTTACGTTTCGGTATTGCTTTCCATGCTTAATGCAGGTCGTCTTCCAAAACAGCATTTTTTTAACCATAGGATAATATCTAGTGTATTCTATAATGCTATACTGGTTTGAGGTCGGGACGGCCCTTGACGTAAAATATCGCCAGTGTCTCGTGCACGATTGGGCCCTGCTTTGTCGTCCATGAACGTTGACTTCGTGTTCAGACAATGGTAATCAAATTTCTGGAAAAAACTGTGTCTTGAATGCAAGTAATTGTTAATAGTTTACAGTTACACCATCAGTGAACCCCAGCCAAACGGTACTGCTCCAAAATATTATGTTGCACATATGCAATGTTCCTCCGTCGCCCAACGCCAACGAATAACGCAAGAAGTCACGAACAACAGAAATCTACTTTTGTCCGGCCAGAGGACCTTTAGACATGACGTCAAATTCCAGTGATATCGAGCTTGAAACCAAACAAGCCGTCCTGCAGCTTTGTGCTCAAGGGACAAATGCAAACGTCTGATACATGGCCGATTGAAGGCGATTTCGGACGGTTCTGCTGGACAAACGACGATGTGGAAGCCACTGATTTTAACACGCCACTTGACATGACCGGATGAAGCCTTGACCGATCCTGTCTAGGAGACTTGAACACTGACAGGATCGGATGGTCAGGCTCGCTGACTGGGTTGACACATGTCATCGGTTCCCAACTGCGTAGAGCGATGCTCATGCTGTTGATCCCTGGATTGTCTGGTCCAGACACGATTATTTACAGACCGCCGCCATATAGCTGGAATAATGCTGAGTGAGGCGTAAAACTAAACTCACTCACTCACCTGAACACTGACGGTCCTAAACATGATCTCCTGGCCAGTCGGCTGAGAGTCCATGGTCTACAGCCAACATCCTTTCAATAGCCCTCAATGGCATGCCACCATTCCACATACCCAAAACTTGCCATCTTTGGGCAGTTGTCGGCTGAACAGGACCCATAGTTGCTCATCAATAACGATTTCAATTGACTTTTGTTGTCGAGCTGGAAGAACTGTTACTGAAACCTGACAATTGTTTAATACATGTGTACAGGTATTGTGCTTGATGATCACGTTTGATCCTGGCACGTGTATATCAATGTATGGAACCCCAAAAGGGTAAACGTAACCTTACAATTGAGTGAGTAAGATTTTAAGTCATATCGGCCATATTTCAGCCTTATCGTGACTACAAACAAGTTATAATTTTACAACAGATACAGGTAAATTATAAATATCAGTCAGCGAAGGACAGTATAACAACAGTATAACAGTTTATCACAGATTTCAATATAAAACTAGTTATTAACACTAGAATACAATATAGAGGACGATACAATATAAAAACAGGCTATTGATCGCCAGCAACTGAAGGTAGACCACCATGCTAGGGACCATGTGGACTTACAGTACTCTTGCTTCGTGCATGGTCCCTAGCTGGATTTACACCGTCCCTTTAGATGTTAGCAATTTAGATAAATCTAGCTATACATTAAAAGAACATATATGCTACCATTAAAATAGCAGTAGGTTTAAATTTACTATGAATGTAATAGGACTTACGTACCTTGTCAGGAGGACGTAACCTTACAAACACACATAATTCTGATATGAATAGAAATGTTATATGGACATAAAAAGATCACAGTTGTTGCCACACTCTCCCCATGCATATATCAAGCCGATACGCAGTGATGAGAGTAATGCACTGATTGCAGAGGCGTGAAACAAACTGGCTCACTCACAGACCCAAACAGAACAGCATACAACAGACAGTCTTGTTGATTATTGACATTTTCGTTCCCAGAAACGATCTGAAGTGATAGGGACGTACGCATTCTGTGGACAGAACCATCTGGCAGCGATTGGGGTGACCCTGGGAGTGTTCTGTACCTTGATCCCCGCGAGGAAGGGAACCATCACCAAATACATCGCACGTGCTAACGTATCCGGGCAGCTTGCGTGCTACATGACAGCGTGTATTGCAGGTACGTGTACATGACCATGACATGACAACCAATCATATTATAATATCAACCCAAACTAGCCATACTGTTAACAAATAACAGCAAAGTTATGTGGTGGTGGTGTGTGGTGCTGTGCATAGATACCAGGTCACAAATCATGTGAAGTTAAGCAACGTTGGTCGCGGACAGTCATTGGATGGGGGACCGTGTTTGGGAGCTTGAGTTTCTTCTCCTTTCCAGTCCTGTCCCACAACGAAGCACACGTGACACATGTGGTCTCACCTTAGGCAACTGAATTTGTTCACGAATTGCCTCTGTGCACCGAGCAGTGATGGGTACCCGGTGTGATACGTCAAGTGCGTGGACACGTTATACATAGCCATTAGTATTATATCATTATGTCAGCAAGTAAAAGTAACACCAACACTAAGATCTTCCTTATCCCCATCATGCTTGTCGTAAGAGGTGGCTAACGGGATCGGGTGTCCAGGCACGGTGACTCGGTTGACACATGTCATCGTATCCAATTTGCGAAGATCGATGCTCATGCTGTTAATCACTGCATAGTCTGGCCCAGACTGGATTATTTACAGACCGCAGCCATATAGCTGGAATATTGCTGAGTGCGGCGTTAAACCAAAAGTAAACGTTATCCCCACACTGACGACATGCACAGGCCACTCGTAGCGCCAGCATCAGTTTGTGGAACAGAACTGTTCCTTTTCCAATTTACTTTATACAAAGCTTTTATTCTGTTTCCTTGTATCTCCTTGCGCGGATTTGACAAAGCCATCGTTGCGCAACGACTACCGTAAGTCCTGTACTTTATATCAGTCGTAGCTCTTCGAGTGAGTGAGTCTGTTTTTTAGCAATAACCCAGCAATATCACTGCGGGGGACACCAGAAATGGGTTTCACACATTGTATCCTTGTGGAGAATCGAACCCGGGCCTGCGGCGTGACGTAGCGCTACGACCGCTCAGTGAAACCCGGAGTCTCCCTACCTTACATCATCCAATGGCCCTCCATCCCATCTTCTCTCTCTATTCGCTGGTCCAGACGAAAACCTTAAATCGTCTCAAGGACAAAATGAGTAGGCGCGTTTTTGGAGTACTCTGTTTCGATATTGTTGGAATATTGCTGAAGCACTCAACCCATCACAAACTAAACTCTCCCTGTCTCGCCATATTTGACCACATGAAACCACCCAAACTGGCCGATAACCAACATTCAAATCAATCCTACAATCACCATCATATAATATACTTTTACAAATCTTTTTTCAGGAATGCTGTATGATGAATCGTTTGTCTGAACCTCCCTTGGTCAAGAGTAATGGATGTGGATGTTAATAATGCTTTCTGACTCAAAATACTCTTCTGCGTTCTGGCCCAGGGTTGGAAAAATCGAACGCGGATTTGTTCGTAGATGTTTCAGAATGATATCCGAGAAATCAGGAAATAAGCACATGTAATACTTTCAACCGTCAAGTATGGAAAAAGTATGAAGGAAGGTATGTCTCTGTGTTGAATGTACAGACGTTTCTAGGACATCAGGAGAAATGATCATCTATAAATGATCTGAGGTACTCTCATTACACTCGTGACCGGTCCTTTGCCATTCCGGGACAACCTTTCTTTTACTTTACGGAATATGCAGTTTGCTGTGAACGCCTGCGGCCATAGGTTCCGCTATGACCACAGGTCTGAATGCAAGATTGCACCAGGTGTATGACCAGTCATCAGCATATCTGTGTTAACGGGATTCATCAAAGTAGTCAATGTGTAACACTTGCTTCACTGACCTGAATTATGGTTTAAAGTACAGTAAAAGTGAATGTAACTTGACTATGGGTGTTCATCCTCGGCTTAATGTGACTCTATGAGATGAAGTTCAGAGTTCAGAGAAAGACCTGGATATTCGCGTTATCCGTCACTGGTCTGCCTCTTGAGTTTACAATGTAGGGTATCCGACCTTGGTAGTCAAGTCCCCGAAATCCAGAAACCCAAACCTTCCTGCCTTGTTGGAGACAACCTGTAATAAGTCTTACGACTTGGGTAGATGGGATTATCGAAATCTTTCTGAACAAACCTCAACTATGGCAAAGGTTGTCAACCAGGAATGCTTCAAGGACGCTGGCCTCTAAATAAAGGGGGCGGTGGGGTAGCCTAGTGGTTAAAGCGTTCGTTCGTCACGCCGAAGACCCGGGTTCGATTCCCAACTTGGTACCATGTGTGAATCCCATTTCTGGTGTCCCTCGCCGTATTATTGCTGGAATATTGCTAAATGCGGCGTAAAACTAAACTCACTCACTCACACTAAATAATCCAAAACGGTGCACAACTGTCGTAAGGTTTGATGACGTCATGCCCAACATGACGTCATAGATTGACGCTCATGTTATCTATCAATGAGGTTTTGTGTCCACGTGGATCAAGTGTAGGCCAAAGCCATGCAACAAGAATAGTTGCGTTAAACCACGAAAATATTTCATCCTATAGGCCAGCGTTTGTATGTTGTATGTGTCGAGGGATCTGAGTGCAATAAACAGATTCAGTCTTGAGGTTGTTTTGTTTTTATGTTTTTTTATCTGTTTAACGCTACACTGAGAAATATGACAGGGGATTGTAACGCTAAAGACTACCATCAAGGTATATGCTGGCACTGACGGGGTCTTAGTACTATACACAAGGAAAGGGATGTAACGACGTCAACACACCAAGTTCGTTTCAGGACGAATTCAACTATGATCACTGCCCACAACCCCATGAAACTATACACGCATTAAAAACCAATAGATTTACCTACAAAATGAGACATTGATCACAAAAATAAAGCATTGGGTGCTAGGGTCTTCTGAACCTCGAAACATCGTAAGTTTTCGATTTCGAGCCAAAATCGAGCTCAGAATTTGTACCGCTAACTTACCGAATGTATTGCTTGTTGCATCGTGTACGCTCACACCGCGCACCAAAACACGATGAATCGATGGCACCTGTCTCCGCGCTAATCGTAATCCGTACAGTCGTAATCAGTTTACCTATGTTTATGCATCGCGATCGGGCTTGAGCCAGGGATACACCCGAGCCGGCCACAAGCCGAACCGGCCCCTGGATATTTAACCCAAACCGGCCCCGCACCCGAACCGGCCCCTGGGTTAATTAACGGTATTATTAGCCATACCCCTTCGCCATTGACGACCTTGGCATTTGCCTGTCCCGCACCGAAAATAGCCTCCCATCTCATTGGCGATACATAAAACAAGTACTGGATTCCCCTCTCCACCCCCAACCCCCCCCCTCACGCCGTCTGCTAATGTGGCGCATTTCACAATCATGTCAACAATTAATGGCAAGTAATTATTTTCTTTCACATATTTTCTCATGTTATCCCATGATTATGTATCATGTTTTATGTATGTCAATACATTTCATGAAGAGTGTAGAGCTAAAACATTTTTTTTAAGTTGTCTTGATCAAACTGTTAAAGAAAAATTATAACAGTTATCTGTTTTTACCCATCGATACAATGTTAACTGTAACATTTATGGCAGCTTTTATAACATTTATGAAGAAAATGTGAGTCTGTATTGTAATTTAAATGTAAAATCTGTCAAGTCACAATCTGAAATTTATGAAGAACTTTCAAATGACACATAAATATTTCCCATATTTTTGGTACAAAGTCTAAATAGTTGATGAGTTGGTATTTCACTTGGGTCACGTTTGACATGTAACAAACTGGTGTCATATCGTCATTAATATCTATCCTTAATTCCACAAGTAAATGTCAAAACTGTATGCCTTTACCTCATGTTGGCCTCGAATCTTTTCTGGGTAGACAATTTGAAGTTTCACGAAAATACATCAGCTCAAATGAATGAAATGTAAAAACATTTATTCTGCATACACCATCTATGTCATGTACACATGGGGATCATGGCATCAGTAATGCATAAATCATGAAAAATAAAAGTATGTGAGTGAGTGAGTTTAGTTATACGCCGCGCTCAGAAATATTCCAGCTATATGGTGTTAAAAGTATATGAATGTGTTATAGAGACAAATAGATTTCTTTTTAAGATTTGTTTAAAATAAAAAAATAATTACACATGGCTTGGTTTAACTACATGGAATGTGCGCTAGTAATCCTGACATTAAACCTTGCAACCTATTAATAATTATAACATGCCCCAGGTATGAAAAATCGTCTGCCCTTATTTACTGATAAGTCTAACAAGCCCAATCGAAAAATTGACAAGTGTGCGTTTGATATTTCTAGATGTCAATACAGATAGATATAGTTCTGGTTGAATTAAGCTCTTATGTGATCCATACAACTGGTATCTTGAACTATTGTCTAGACAGGAATGCCATTCTTGATAATACATGCTAACAGATTGTTCTCGAAATTGCTTAAGAAATAGATTAATATTACCAACTTTTTAGATTTAGCCACACAAATCCAAAGCCATGAGAAAATAAAAGAGTTCTAATATGACACGCCCATGTTGTCCTACCCTATCATCAAAATGTACAAGCATGTTATAAGCTAGTTTGGGGATTCTTTGTTCGTGCATTCCAAGGATCTTTAACCAATATTTTAAACATCTGATTTGTGAATTTATATATATCGGATATCTACCGCATTCTCCATACACCAAAAAGTTGGTGCTGCTCGCACTACATTTAAAAATCTTTTACATGCTAAAAGGTGTAGTTTCTCTAGACATTCATGACGCTGAAATACCCATAAAGCATAATCAGTTGGATTTGTGCATCAAACAATTTAAAATATATTTTCGGGGTTAAAATTCCAAAATTCTGGTAAACTGACATAACATTAATAAGAGCCTTCTGAGCACGTGATTTCAGGTCTATAACACTAATTTTTAAAGTTCATGGTATGGGAAAACAATAGTCCGAGATAGGTATACTGATTAACAATAGATACATTTTTGCCAATCAAAAACATTTTTCTTTAGAGGCGACAGGCCCACCTCTTCTAAAGATAACTATGTTTGTTTTTCAAAATTAACAAAATAATTTCCATTCATTTGTATAACGTTCCAAAATATTCAGTTGGTTTTGAAGACCGACGATAGTATCTGACACTAAAATTACATCATCAGCAAAAGGAGGATACAAATTTCAATCATATCTGGAAACATTTGTACACCATGTTTACCTGAATTAGAAATATCATAATACAGTTCGCTTATAAAGACGGAAACCAATACAGGGCTTAAAATACACCCTTGCCGATCTCCCATGGGACAGTCGAAAAATCGGTGACATCATCACCACAACGAACACATGATTTACTATTCAAAATTACATAGATTTTAAAATAGAATACATTTTCCCTTGTAAACCAGACTTTCGTAAGCAGTGCCATAATTTACAACGTTCCACAGAGCAAAAAGCTTTCTTAAAGTCAACAAATGCTACATAAAGTTTGTGTTTAGTACGTGATAGACACTTTTGTATTATTGCATATAGTGTAAAGATATGGTCAGTAGTTGAATAATCTTTTCTAAAAGCCGCCTGACATTCAGGAATTAGGTTTCTTACATTTGACCAGTTTGAGATTCTGTTTTTAAAAAATTTCCCAATAGCACTCATTAAAGATATGTCTCTGCAATTATCTGGATTGTCTTGAAACGCTACACATTGGCGATTGACTTTCTAAACAAGTTTTCCAAAGCACAAGGTAGTTTGTGTCTACAACACTACAAGTACCGATATACAATAAGTTTGATTAGTGTTTGGGTTTATGAAGAAGTGGTATTCACAGATTATCCAAAACTGTTATAATTAATGCAGACAATGGTTATACTGTCATGATAACAAGAAACCCAGTGATGTTATGTGAACCAGTTTGAAGGGATCTTGTATGACACCTGCAAATGTAAGAAAACTACAGACACACATCTCAAACCAGAGCGTATATGTTTCTAATTGTTTACAGTAGTCGTGGTCGAATATTTGAAATAATCGAAGAGTGGATGCAGTGACTAATCGACCAAGCAATTGATCATATTTTTTCCAAAATCGAACACAAACAAGTTTGGAACATTTGTTTGCATTAACAATATTTTTCACAAGGTTGGGTTTATCTGTGTCATTAAATTTACATTTCATTAGCACTGCAAGCTCCTTCCAAGTCATGATTGAATTTGTCTTAAAGACTCCAAAATTATGTTCCTAACATACTAGTCATCGTTTAAAGATGTGAAATTTGCAAATGCACTTTCCCTCTGCCCCTGCCATGGCCTTGTAAAGATCCTTCCAATAGCTCTGAGAATTGTGAACTGTCCCTTTATCCTTTTCAATGTCTCTCCTGTGTGCCTCTTTTTTCTTATTTCCCAGGACTCCAAGATATATCTGAC